AGCATGCAATACCTGACTATTTAGTCAGGGGCACTGACTTCTTTTCCCTTGGATTGTCAAATTAAAAAATGAAACAGCCAACACAACAATAGCTGTCAGGTGTGAATGGATCAAAATTATACCTATTTTTTTTTTGGCAAATCAGCAAAAAATGTATTCTGGGGTATAGCACAGAATTTTAGTAATTACTTTATGTGTGCCGTGAGATGAAAAAGGTTGATCACTCACTGGTCTAGAGACTTAATCCAAACCTGAAGTCTCAGTTCTCAGTACGTGACACCAGCCGTTTGTTTGTGTGCCTTTCTCAGTGCACTTAAGTGCTGCTGGTGACTTGTGCCCATGAGTCTTCATGTCAGGGGCTGACCTGGTCGACTTTTCCTTTGGTAAAACGGAAGGAGCCCCATATTAGAGACACCATTTGGAAGTTTTCTCCTGAAATTGTTTAACATCTCGTGTTCCTTAGTCTTATAGGATTTTCCAACAGAAAGGCAGAGTGTGGAGGCCTTCTCATTAAAGGAGGTGGCCAGGAATTCTGTGGGCCCAGTGTCCAGAATAAAGAAAGCTTGGGGATTTTGAGACTAGTGCTCACCTCTAGAGCAAAGTTAAGGGAATATCTCAGGAAACAGGCCGGAAGGAAGCAGAAGAGACCCAAACACACTTTTGTGAAGATGAAGGACATATGATCCTGGTGTTTATGAAGATTTCTAGTGACTGAGTGATTGTTATTCTTATTTTATGGAATCTTGCCATCAAGGAACTGACATTTTAAGCAGAGTAAACTTTTTAGACAGTTAGGGACTGTAGAAGAACTTCCTAGATGACTTTATTGGCATCTTTTTCAGTTGCATAATTCTAAATTTAATAATCTAAAAATTGTTTGTAAATTTCTTTCAATATCTGAAGAGTGAGGAATAAATTAGGAATCTGCATCTCAAGTTAGACATATGAGAGAACCCCACAAAAACAGAATTATCTTCTGGAGATGGGCCCTTTGAAGTACTGGCTTCCCCAACTTGGTGAGTGTTCAGTATCAGTTTGTATCAGTTTACCATCTGTATCAGTTTACTAGCCGGTGTGGTTGTGAGAGGCTGGGTTCAGCTTCAGTGAATTTTTTTTAAAGACTCTTTCAATGTGTTTGCCTATTTCGTAATGGGTGATTTAAGAGAACACCTGCCCACACCACGCTGAATGTTCAGCAGTTTTTGGTCAAAAAACAGCATGACTCCTATGCCCCACCCTCCCTATTCATCAGATCTCACCCCAAGTGATTTTTTTGTTGTTGTTTCTCTGGATAAAAAATGTCCTCAAAGGGGAATTTTTGCCAATGTGGAAAAGGTGAAACAAAAAACCACAGAAGCACTAAAAGGCATCAAAATCAATGAGTTCAAAAACTGTTTTGAGCAGTGGAAAAAAGTCTTAGTAGGTGTCCCGGCCTTGAACGTCTGCAGGACAAACACAAAACCAATATCGCATGAACTGTTAAAGGGTCTTTTTAAGAAGAAGAAGAATATCTATCACAAACACAAACAATAAAATGTCAATAAATACATATCTATCAACAACTGAATCTAAAAACCAAAATAACCAAACAAGAAGAACAGAAGCAGAATCATAAGTACAAAGAACATTTTGCTGGTAGATTGGAGGGGGGTTGGGGAGACAGGCAAAAAGGGTGCAGAAATTAAGAAGTACAAATTGGTTGTTACAGAACAGTCATGGAGATTTAGAGTACAACATAGGACACGTAGTAGCCAAACAATATATATGCATGATCGGTGGACATGGACAGTGGTGTGGGAATGGGCTGAGGGAGGTGGGGGAGTCTGGGTGGAGGGCAAAGGTGGAAAAAGTGAGACAACTATAATAGCATAAATAATCCTGTTTCAGTCTACTATTCTTTTTTTTTTTTTATTGTCGTTCAAGTGAAGTTGTCTCCATTTTCCCTGCACCACTCTCCACCGCCCCACCTAACCCTACCTCCTAACCTCTATCCTACCCTGCTTTGGCTTTGTCCATGTGTCCTTTATACTTTCCTTGACTTACCTGCTCTTTTCAGCATGGCCAATTGTCCTCTTCCTTTATCTCATCCCTTACATGCAGGCCCTAGGCTAAGGAAGTTCAGAATGCCTTTATGTGATATTCTCTCCCACTGCTGCCATCCCACCAAACTGTCTGCAACCCCAGGCCACACCCAAATATCAGGAAACTGAGCCCATTTTTCCTATGCTGAAGCAGCATGGGAAAATGCTTAGTAAATGGGTGCTGAATAAACTGTGTATAAATATATGTTAAGGCAATTTATAAGGAATGATATTGAAATGAATCTTAAATAATTTTCCTATTTTTAAAATTTTTAGCCCTGGTTGGTGTAGCTCAGTGGACTAAGTGCCAGCCTGTGAACCAAAGGATCACCAGTTTGATTCCCAGTCAGAGCACATGCCTGGGTTGCAGGCCAGGTCCCCAGTAGTGGGGTGTGTGAGAGGAAACCACACATTAATGTTTCTCTCCTTCTCCTCCCTCCTTTCACCTCTCTCTAAAAGTAGATAAATAAAACAAACACACAAGCAAAATGCAACCGGAGACATTGAAATAAAGAACACACTGACAGTAACCAGAGAGGAGAGGGGAGAGGAATAATGGGAGAAGATAGGGGCAGGGCCATCAAGGAACATGTATAAAGGACACATGGACAAAGACAAAGAAGGTAGGTTTGAAGGTGGGAGGTAGGAATGGGGTGGTGGGGGGCATGGTGGGGTGAAAATAGAGACAACTATACTCGAACAACAATAAAAAAAATAAAATAAAATAGCCCTGGTTGGTGTCGTTCAGTGGATTGAGCACTGGCCTGTGAACCAAAGGGTTGCCAGTTCAATTCCCAGTCTAGGGCACATGCCTGGGTTGCAGACCAGGTCCCCAGTGCAGGGTGTGTGAAAGGCAACCACACATTGAAGTTTCCCTCTCTTTCTCCCTCCTGTCACTTCTCTAAAAATAAATGAATAAAAACTTTTAAAAATAAATAAATAAAATAAAATTTTCGGTGTAGTGGCATTATAATTTGTATTATAATACACAAAATAATTTCTATAATAAATTCAAAGGCATATTTTAAAATAAAATATACAAATATATATTTAAATACTTTCATTAAAAATGAGTAGCATATAAATTTATACTTATTTCTATGAAAAATACTGTTTTAATGTGAAAATTCAGGCAAAAATTCCCCACACATTTTCTAAATGTACCCTAATTATGCACCTGTCATTTTTGTCCCCCTAGAATGTCCCCCCACCAGGATAATGTGAGTCCTTCCCCTGCTGCCAGAATATAAGATTCATGAGAGCAGGATCTCCTTTTGTTCCACTGTATCCCTTGCTCCAAGAACAATGCTCGATAAATGGTAGTCAATCAATAATGCTGAATAAGTGAATGTACATCTGCATCTTTATCCAAAGACAGCAAGACTTAAAGCAATCAAGTGGAGGCAATAAGAATGCATATGATACATGGGTCTTATTATAGTATAAATAATGGATAACATTTATAAAGCATTTATTAAGTAAATATGCTAGGCACAGTGCTAAGCATTTTATACATGAAAATACAATATAGACACAATTATTAATTTTATTTTTTTAAAAGATGGAGGAAATTGAATTTTAGAAGGGTTAGTTATTACATATATGCATATGGTTCCTTTTTTAATTTAGCAGAGCACTGAAACTTCTTCATGCGTTACTCATTCTAATAAAATTATAGAGTAAGACAGTGTTCAAGTTCTCATGATTTGCCTTCTGAAAGTCACACAGTAAGTAAAAAGAACTGCAATAAGGGTTTTGATTCCTTAATCTTAGTATGCAACCAAAGCAGCTCAAATTTCTTCCCAGAAGACAAATACAAACATCTGTAGTAATGTTGTCCATGTCACAAGGTTCTGATGGGGAAGAGTTAATAACTGATTACAGAATTCTTTGTAAATACAAAGTGCTGTAGAAATGCAAAACATCTACAACAACAGTAATTAATTCTAATCACCATCTCTTTTCTGTGTGCAGCTGTCTCTCAAAATTCACTTTGGGAGTTTAATCACCCCATTTCAACAAATAAAGTAGCCTCCCTCTTTCTCAGGCCCTACTAAGAAGCTGTCTCTCATCTCCACCAGCTACTAAAGCTCTTCCCTTCCTCCCCCTGCACACTTTCTACTCCCAGTTGATTAGCAAAGACTGAATGCTGACATTAATAAGCAAATTGTTCAGACTGAGCCTTTCAAAATTCCCAAATAAAATTGATCACATGAGAGAAATGGACAAACATTTCAAAATAAAATTCCCGTCCTTCCCCTACACAGAAAGGAAATTTTTCCTCCTTTTGAGCTCCAGTTATGCTCAGATAACTATGCTGAAATACCAGGTCAACAAATTGTTTATTTAGCAACATGAGGCTTATAATAGGCATTGATGACAATGAACATTTCAACATTCATTTATGCCTACGGCTTCTTGAGTAATTGTAACAGAAACTACATGGCCCCCAAACTGAAAATATTTACTATCTGGCCATTTATAGAAGTAGTTTGCCAACACCTGATAGGCTGAGTCCTGAGTTCTGAGGCACTCCGATATAATAAGAAATATAACATAAGAACTTTGAAAAGGAGCAGTTCATGATATGGACAGAAAACCAGGGGAATGTGGTGTCTCCAAAGTCAAGTGAAAATCATTTTAAGGTAGGAAGGAATGATCAACAAGCAAGATGGAGACTGAGAGTTGAATGTGAGATTTCACAACCTGAAGGTTATTGGGGGCCTTCATGAGAGCATTCTCAGTGGAATGGTAGGAATGAAAGTCTAACTGAGGTGGTGGGTTCACGAAGTAATGAGAAGACAGGCAGTGGAGATAAGTAAGAGTTTTGCTAGAAAGGAGAACAGAGAAAAGAGCCATAAACTGAAAAAAAATTATAGAACACAGCGTGCTGATCTTGTGGTTGTTTTTGTCTTTTAGATGGTATATCACAGCATGCTTGTGTGCGAATGAGAACATGGGAATGATCCAGGAGAGATGAGCGTGATGATGGATGAGCAGAAGAGGTTAAATTATGACACAGATACACTATGGAAGCTGCATCCCTACTGGTAAGAGAGTTTCAGTAGTGTGAAATGATTCCCTGTGTAGAACAACTAGGGTAAATAAAATAAGAACAATTTAAGGCAGGCTCTGAAGCAGAAAGCTTGCTCCAGTAAAAAGTAGTGCCTTTCACCTAATGGAGGCCCACCAGGGGCCAGGAAGATTAGAACTTGGATGAGCTGCCCAGGGATGGAACGCCTCTGGCAGACTCTGAAAATAAAGCTGACTTGCAAGCCATGATGACTATAAGATTCATGGCACTTGCTAGATTGATTTCTTTTTTGTTATCCTTTACTAATATCTCATTCAGATATTCCACCTTTTTATAGGTCATCTCAGAAAAGCCCTGCATCTACACGAGACTCAGAATTTTACAAAGAGCACTGTCTCCTTGAGGCCAGTGTGGGGAGGGAAACTGTGATCAGGGGAAAGGTAAATGAATCCTACAGGCAGTGTCTGTAGTAACTGAAAAGAATGCTTTTCACTTTGAGGTGACTTCTGGTCAAGATGGCAGCACAGGTAAAAATGGCTCACCTCCTCACACAACCACATCAAAATTACAACTAAAATATAGAACCATCACCCAGAACAGCTTTCCCTTGGACATAAAGGCAGGCAGAGCCACAGAGCCAGCAGGCAGGTGCCATATATGAGACCCATCAACCTGGCTAACACTGTTTGCCCTGCCCTGGAGATCTCCTGAGTTCCTGTCCCACACACTTACAGCTGTTAACAGCAGCTTTTCCATATGAATGGCTGGTCTTTGCTCATGCTTCACAACTTCCTAAATCCACTCAAACAAGCAACAGCTGGCCTCAGTGAGACCTCAACCCCTGTACTTCTTGCTAAGTGGCCCTCAGCATGGCACTAGCAGCAGCCAGCCTAGATTCACAACTTGGTTTTGCCTGGGATTCTCTAAGCCCAGCACAAGTAGCAACCATCTCAGATTGCTTTATAGTTCAGGCGAGTGGCTCCAGGCAAAATACAGTTGGTGGTTGACCTTGGTCTGTACCACCCAGTAAACCCCAGGGCCTGCACACCCAGAGGACAGCTACAGACCATGTCAGAGAACCACTAAGCTGCCTCTGCACAGCTGATCTTCCATGGAGGGTAGAGGTTGGAGATCAGTGGTCATAGGCAATCCTTGCAACAGACTGGCCTGGATAAATCCCTTCTATTGATCTGCCAATAGAAACCAAGCCTCAACTAAAAGAGGAGGGTGTACTCAGCCCACATGAAGGACACACCTCAAGTGCCCAGCTTGGGTGATAGGGGAGGCTGTACCCCTGTACCCTACAGGACACCCACTACACTAGGCCATGGTACCAAGACAGGGTGTCATAGCAGCTTTACCTAATACATAAAAACAAACAGAGGGAGGCTGCTGAAATGAAGACACAAAGAAACATGGCCAAAATAAAAGAACAGATCAAAACTCAGAAAAAGATCTAAATGAAATGCAGATAAGGAATCTCAAATGCAGAGTTTAAAACACTGGTTATAAGGATGCTCAAGAAACTTAGTGAAGACCTCAGCAGCATAAAAAAGACCCAGCCAGAAATGAAGGATACACTAATTGAAATAAAGAACAATTTACAGTAGAGTGGATGAGGCTGAGAATCAAATCAATGATTTGGAACATAAGGAAGCAAAAATCAAGCAACCAGAACAAGAAGAAAACAATTTTTAAAAAATGAGGCTATTGTAAGCAGCCTCTGGGACAACTTCAAGAGGTCCAACATTCACATCATAAGGATGCCAGAAGGAGAAGAGAAAGAACAAGAAATTGGAAGTCTATTTGAAAAAATAATGAAAGAAAACTTCCCACATTTGGGGAAGGAAATAGACATGCAAGTCCAGGAAGCACAGAGTCCCAAACAAGATGAATGCAAAGAGGCCCACTCCAAGACACATCATAATTAAAATCCCAAAGGTTAAACGTGAAGAGAGAAAGTTAAAAGCAGCAAGAAAAAAGCAGTTATCTACCCACAAGTGTCTTTCCATAAGACTGTCAGTTGGTTTCTCAAAAGAAACTTTGCAGGCCAGAAGGGACTGGCAAGAAATATTCAGTTATGAAAAGCAGAAACCCACAACCAAGACTGCTCTACCCAGAAGCTATCATTTAGAATTGAAGGGCAATAAAGAGCTTCCCAGATAAGAAAAAACTTAAAAAGTTCATCATCACCAAACCATTATTATATGAAATGTTAAAGGTACTTATTTAAGAAAAAAAGATCAAAACTATGAACAATAAAATGGCAATAAATACATATCTATCGACAATTGAATTTTAAAAACAAACTAAGCAAACAAGAAGAACAGAGACAAAATCATGGATACAGAGAGCATTTTCATGGTTGCCAAATAGGAGGGGTGTGTCAGGGAATGGGTAAAGAGGTGAGGGAATTAAGAAATACAAGTAGGTAGTTACAGAATAGCATTGGAGATATAAAATACAATATAGGAAATGGAGTAGCCAAATAACTTACACTTGCAACCCATGGACACGAACAATGGTGTGGGGATTACCTGAAGGAATGGTGATTGCTGAGTGGAGGGGAGCAAAAGGGATAGAACTGGAACAACTGTAATAGCATAATGAATAAAATATTATTTTAAAAAAGAAAGAATATTATATAAAAAACAGCCCTGGCTGGTGTAGCTCAGTGGATTGAGTGCGGACCTGTGAACCAGAGTATGGTAGTTCAATTCCCAGTCAGGGCACATGCCTGGGTTGCGGGCCAGTTCCCAGTGGGGGGCACACGAGAGGCAGCCATACATTGATATTTCTCTCCCTATCTCCTTCCCTTCCCCTCTAAAGATAAATACATTTTTTAAAAATCTTAAAAAAAAAACAACAAAAAACCCCCACAGCAATGCTAGTGAAATTTGGATTCCAGCATTGAACAATTTTGTAATCATGGACAATGTAATAACTAACATTTATTAAATGCATACTGTATGCCACATATTATACTAAGAGCATTATATGCTTTATTTTATTTAACCATCCTTTCACACATGAGGAGAGGACTGAGACTCAAGGATATTAAGAGACCACCACAAAGGGTACATTCTCATATAAGCTAAATGCACTTTTGGGATCTGAATCCAGATCTCTCCAACTCCAGAACTTATGTCCTCTACCAATGTACTTATATGGCCTCTCTTAAGGTAAATTTGTGTTTATTACATGAGGCTAAATGCTTTAAAATTCACATATGTCATTTTACTAAATTTCATAATTCTTCTACTCACTGGAGTTCTAGAAAACTATTAAATAAATATGAATATCTGTTTTTCAGATTAAATTCAGCAAAACAAATCATCGACAAAATAAAAAGACAACCCACTGAATAGGAGAACATATTCACCAATACAGCTGATAAGGATTTAATATCCAAAATTTATAAAGAAGTTATAAAACTCAACACCAAAAAACCCCCAAACAAATAATACATTCAGAAAATGGGCAAAGGCCCTGCCTGGTGTGACTCAGTGGATTGAATGCCAGCCTGTGAATCAAAGGGTTGCTGGTTCAATTCCTAATTAGGGCACAAGCCTGAGTTGCGGGTCAGGTCTCCAGCTGGGGGCATGCAAGAGGCAACTACACATTAATGTTTCTCTCTATATTTTTTCTCTCCCTTCCCCTCTGTCTAAAAATAAATAAATAAAATATTTTTTTAAATGGGCAAAGGACCTGAAGAAACACTTTTCTAAAGAGGACACATAGATGGTGAAGAAACATGAAATGATGCTCAACATCACTAATCATCAGAGGTGCAAATTAAAACCACAATGAGATATCACCTCATACCTGTCAGAATGGCTATCATTAATAAATCAACAAACAATAAGTGTTGGAGAGGATGTAGAGAAAGGGAATCCTCATGCACTGTTGGTGGGAATGCAGACTGGTGAAAGCACTTCAAAAAATAAAAATGGAACTTCTTATGACCCAGAAATTCCACTTTGGGGAATATATCTGAAGAAACTCAAAACACTGATTCAAAAGAACATATGTACCCCTATGTTCTTTGCAGCATAATTTAAAATAGCCAAGATTTGGAAGCAGCCCAAGTGCCCACAGTAAAGGAATGGATAAGACAACTGTGGTATTTATTGGGTTGACCAAAAAGTTTGTTTGCTCTTTTCTATAAGATGGCTCTAGTAGTACTTAGTTATTTTTAACTTCATTCTAAACAATTTTGTTAGATTGTGTTATGACAGCTGTCATACCAGAGTGTATTTAAAAAGTTTATAGAAATTGGTGAATTTTTATGTAGCCATTTTAATATTGAAGAGGAAGAAAATAACACTTTTGGCATATTATGCTTATTTCAAGACAGATAAAAACACAACTGACATGCAAGAAAAGATTTGATTGAATGTGTCAAAAGTGGTTTGTGAAGTTTTGTGTTGGAGATTTCTCACTGAATGATGCTCCATGGTCAGGTAGACCAGTTGAAGTTGAGATCAATGAAATTGAGACATTAACTGAGAACAACCAATGTTCTACCATGCAGGAGATAGCCAACCTATTCAAAATATCCAAATCAATAAGGTTATTGGTGAAAATGAAAAAATGTGTCTTTCATTTTATGGAAAAAACCATATGGACATTTTGGCCAACCCATACATTTACATAGTAGAATACCACTGGGCCATAAAAAGGAAATCTTTACCTTTTTCGATAGCATGGATGGACCCGGAGAGTATTATGTTAAGTGAAATAAGCCAGTCAGAGAAAGACAATTACCATATGATTTTATTTATATTGTAGAATCTAATGAATAAAATAAACTAACCAACAAAATAGAATCAAGGTAATAGATACAGATAACACACAGAGAGCTGTCAGAGGGGAAAGGGTAGGAGGTTGAGTGGAAAAAGTGAAGGGATTAAGAAAAAAATGAAAAAATAAAACAGGAACAAAAACCCTCATAGACAACAGTGTGGTGATTACTAGAGGAAAAGTGAGGTGGGGGAAATAAAAAAAAGGTGAAGG